GGTGACGTCTCGGCTGTCACCTTCTCGTCGCAAAGCAGGCCGGTGACGTCGTCGTCTCCTTCTCATCTGCTTTCCGGCGTCGTCGGGGTCGTCGTGTGTCCTTCTAGTCTCGTTTTCCATGGGATCGCATAGGCCAAGAGACGTTATTTTTGGTAAGTTTTTACTAAAACAGACGTATCTTTGGCTGCCTCGTTGTTTAATAAAACAGACCAGAGTTGTTAACAATTTATGTTAATAACTTGGTGTGGGATTAATAATAATGCCTTCGTTAACTGTTAATATTTGTGGTGTTTTAATTAATAATCAACTTTGCATGTAATCAGGTCATTACTATTTTTAAACATATGATCAATATCTTCATAAACGAGTATTAACCGATAATACCAATTTATTAATAAAACAGACCAGAGTTGTGAACAATTTAAGTTAATAACTTGGTGTGAGATTAATAATAATGCCTTTGTTAACTGTTAATATTTGTGGTGTTTTAATTAATAATCAACTTTGCATGTAATCAGGTCATTACTATTTTTAAACATATTATCAATATCTTCATAAACGAGTATTAACCGATAATACCAAATTATTAATAAAACATATCAGAGTTGTGAACAATTAAGTTAATAACTTGGTGTGGGATTAATAATAATCCCTTCGTTAACTGTTAATATTTGTGGTGTTTTAATTAATAATTAACGTTGCATGTAATCAGGTCATTACTATTTTTAAACATATTATCAATATCTTCATAAACGAGTATTAACCGATAATACCAATTTATTAATAAAACAGACTAGTGTTGTTAACAATTTAAGTTAATAACTTGGTGTGGGATTAATAATAATCCATTCGTTAACTGTTAATATTTGTGGTGTTTTAATTAATAATCAACGTTGCATGTAATCAGGTTATTACTATTTTTAAACATATTATCAATATCTTCATAAACGAGTATTAACCGATAATACCAATTTATAAATAATACTTGTTAACTGATAATACCAATTTATTAATAATCGAAGTGTTTAACTTAATAATCCACTTTGTACGTAAAAATGTTCGTTGTTTTAAATTATTAATTAAAAAGAACATGGTTAATAGTAAAGTTTGCATGAAAAATTTCATTGTCGATTTAGGTTAATAATCCAAGAAGGGAAGATTAGTAACGATGTTGATGGTTGTTAATAATTAATCCGAGAGGAATGATTATTAATTTATCGTTAATTGTTAAAAGTTAAAGTGTACAAGTTAATAATCGGAGAAGGAAGATTAATAATGAAGTGCCTTGTAATTGTTTATTTAATAATCGGAGAATGCAGATTAATAATGAAGTGGGTAGTTGTTAATAATTAAAGGTAATAGTTTTGTTAATTTGTCAACGTTGCAGATCTGAATGAAGTACCTTGTGATGTCAACTTGGAAGGTGAAGATATTTCCAATAACAATGACTTAAGCGAAGACGAGATTACAGTAGAAAATCTATATGCAGAAGGCGAAGGTTAGTTGACTAATCTTGTATATATGTGGAATGATAAAACTCGTGTCAGTGACGTAATGTATTCAATGTTGCAGGAGTGGTGGATGATGTTCATACGAATGATGGTAGTGCTATACCTGTCATGGACATTCGTGATTTTAATATTGATAACATGGGTAAGTCGAATTTATAACAATCTTATTAACAAGTAAAAAAAAATGCACCATTATTAACTAATTTCTTGATAATTTGTGTAGAGATAATACTGTTCGAAAAAGGAGTAGGGCAGAGAATAGATGGGGGTGTCCAGCGAGGATGAACTTCAAGTTGGATAAACGAACCAACCTCTATTACATTGATGATTGGGTAGATGAGCACAATCATGAGATGCACGACCCATTGGCCAAGCATCTCCATCATTCTAACAGGAATATCACTGAAACTCAACTTTGTATTGCTAAAATGAACGAGGCTGCCGGTATAAAAACACGGGCTAGCTATACTACATTCTGCTTAGCTGCTGGTGGTAGGGAGAATGTTGGTTTCCTTCCAGAGGACTTGAAGAATTGCATTAGAACAGTGAGGGCGAAGACAATGGAGTATGGGGTGGCCACATTCCTGTATCGACACTTTCAGGAGGAACAGAGATGTGATCCCTCCTTCTTTTATAGGGTATCAGTGGACGTGAACGAGGAGAAAGTTGAAAACACAACAGGAAATAAATTCAATTAAAGATGCTAGTTGTGCGTTCACTCACCATCAAAATTAACATTTACCAAGCGCAAATAATCCTGGTCAATACTACGCATCTGCAAGTTAAGAACGAAGCCGAACCCATAACTTCGAAGTATAGCCGCACGACTTGGGCTAATATTCTTAACGATTTTGCGGACCTGAGACACACTGCACCTGATTGGTAAGCGATTGTCATCAGCTATGGGTGCATCTGCCTTTTTCTTCATAGGCTTACTCAACGGTGCAGACTTATGCGAAGTATTCTTCGTACGTGCCATATTATATTGTGGACCACTGTAAAAAATTATAAAGAAAGTCCACGAAATGATTAATAACCCATTTTTTAATAACGATCAATACAAAAGAAAATGTTAATAACGAACATGAGGTAGTAGTGTTGATAACGACCAATACTAAAAAAACATAACACGACAAGAATTGATTATGGTGTTCACAAAATTATCACGTTGGCAAAGAACATTACAAAAAAAAAAAAATTACCAATGCAATTAAATAATTTACATAACAGCACAGATTCATTAATAATAAAAAGCAAAAGGTTGAGAGCGAGAACATATTGACTAACAATGTTGACCAAAACAGCTTGTAAACGCCCACCGAATGATTAATAATATATATAAAAAAGGTTCATAACGAGCAGAAATTGATTAACAATGGACACAAAAAAATTAAAAATATTTCCCAAATTCGAAATGAATTTGACGTGCACAGATTGATTAACAATGAACACACAACACATTGACTTGCATGACAAAATGATTAATAATATAGAACAAAAAAGTTGAAAACGAGCACGTATTAATTAATAATATTGACACAACACGTTTTCCATATGTCCACGGAATGATTAATAATAGATGCCAAAAGGTTGATAACGAGTGACAATCGACAGAAAAAAATCTGGAAACGTCCACAAAATTATTAATAACAGAAACCAAATAAATTAAAAATGGACCTACCATTGTACAACCCCTACTCCTCCCATACAACGACAAACCCTAATCTCATGCATCGCCAAAACCCTAATCCCATGCAACTCCAAAAACCCTCAAAATAGCGGCCAAAAAAATGGGAGACCAAAAAATACCTTAACACGCGGCCGCCGACGAAAGACTGAGAGTTGAAACGAGAGAGAGTGAGAACTCGAACAGTCGGCCGGAGAACTCGACCGGACGAGAGAGATGGAGAACTCGAACACCGACGACGGAGAGAGAGGGCGAACTCGACCGGACGAGAGAGAGGGAGAACTCGAACAGCGACGACGGAGAACTCGACCGGACGAGCTTCTTTAAGATGATTGCTTCAGGGACGACGGACTCGTGTTTGACGGAGAAGTCGACGGGCTCGTGCTTCAGGGACGACAGACTCGTGTTTGACGGAGAACTCGCGGACTCGTGCTTCAGGGACTATTCGACGGACTCGCCGTTGACGGAGAAGCAGGGACGACGGGAAAATTTGGAACAGACCCGCGGCGGCAACAATAAACAGACCCGACAAAGACGAAAACCAAAAATAAACCGTAGCTTAGGGTTTTTGAAAATAATAGACATGTTTTAATTTAATTGTATTCTCCTTAATACCCCTAACAACTTTTTAACTAATAACTCCTACTAACTACCTTATCTTAAATTAGCCAATCACAAGGCTTTAAGTTATTCCTTAAAAAAGAGGCCTTAAGGACCAGAACTTAGGCCATTTGCAAGTTATCATTATGGATTTATGGTTATGCCACTTCTTTTGTTTTTTTTTCTTTCTGGAATGCAGTAATTTTAGGCTGCTGTATGCTATACTGTGCTCTGTCTTTCGCTTCCCCAACCAACTTTGTTGTGAAATATTAGTATATTATGCATGCATTCGCTTCAAATCGTAGCAATAAGTCAATTTTTCGTTGCAAACATTTATGATTTTCTCTTAACTTTCTAGTGTCTCCCGTTTCAAAAAATTTGTATGTTTTACATTACTTGTACGAATAAGACTCATATATATACGGTAGAGTATGTAATGCAACTAAAATCATAATAATCAATTTCTCATACAAACCATCATAATAATTTTGTAAACCTTTCATTTCGAAAGAGAAAAATATTTACCCTATAACTTATTTGAAATATTAGAAAGCGAATTGTGTTTATATTATCAATCAACTAAAGTTGAATGAGAAAGAGTAACATTCCCACCAAAATTCCCCCAACTCCCAAAGACTTCTTCATCAAACTTGACTTCTCAAAACACACAAACAAACACATTTATTCTCTCTTGGCCACAAGCAAGAAGAGGAAAGAAAAGAGGAAGAAGAAGAAAATTCCTCTGTCCATTCATTCCATTTCTGTCTCGTTACTATTCCATTGCACTTGCATAGAAGCATCCTATCCCAATCCTCATAAATTTCCCCTAATCCATACATTTTCCACACAAACACCTCATCCAAAGGACTTTCCCCGTTACCTCTCAAGAAACTCCCAAGAACCCACTCTCATTTTCCCTCCCAAAATCCCCTCTACCCAGATGTATAAATAAACCAAAATCATGCCCCCAAGTTTTACTCATTTACAAGTTCCTATGTTTTTCGTTTAAAACCAAAATCCCCTGTTTTTTAGCCGATGGAAATTACAATCATATCAGCACAGGGCCTAAAGAAGACGTCCAGGACTCTACTCCCATTGTCCACCCACCGCCGCCTCCGGCCATTCGTTGCCGTCTCCATTTGCCCCCAGACGGCGGGGGGAGATTCTTCGACTAGCAATAGCTACATAACGAGGGTTGACGACAGGGAGGAGTGAATCCCACGTGGGAGGATAAATTTTACATCCCTGTTGACGCCGCATTTTTGGGGAATCGATACTCCTACATTTACCTTGAACTCTACAATAAACGGCTCTTCTCCGGCAGAGCTCAACTGGGTTGGTGTCAGATTCCGGTCGCCGATTTTGGGTTGTCGCCGTCGCCGGGAGGTCAGGTCCGGTATCTGAGTTACAGAGTGAGGGATCATAGAGACGGGACCAGAGGGCAGGGAATTTTGAACATTGCTGTTAAGTTGACCGGAGGGGAATTAATGACGCCGCGACTGCGACCGCCGCCGTCCCAAGAATCGGTGGAATCCGGTGAGAAAGGTGCGGGGAGTTGTCAAGGAACGGTGATTGGGATTCCGGTGGAAATGTTTAGGAATATGAGAATTTGTCAATGATTAAGTGGTGGGTTCTGTGGTTTTGATTGACTTTTGGGAGCAAAAATAATGTTGGCGGTGGACCGTTCAAATCAAACAAAAGTGTATCTATCTTTTTTTCCCCCCAAATTCAGTATTGAAAAGATAGTCATAAGGAGAAAGAAAGAAAAGTGCGGGAGTCGATCAATAATCGAACTCCCGATGAGAGGGCCTTTAGTGCCACATGATGGGCAGCCCTATAAAGTCGACGAAAAACAAAGCAGTAAGAAATCAAGCTGAAGTGAGAAGTTAAGCTCCGAGCATCCTCCAGTAGAGCTCCACCCCGATCATGCGCCAAATCGCCTCCCACCATCCCGCCGTATCAATTGTTGTGAATCCCCATGAAATTTGACAGAGACAAAGGAATGTGTCAGGCATCACTTTATGACCTCCAGTATAACAAATGAATCGTGTAATCCTTCATAACACTTTCCGAAAAGCAAAGAGAATATTACCTGACGATTGAAAACCCACAAAGCCAATACTGCCTTCGTAACTATGCTTGACCGCACCATCAAACTAAACATTAATAGTGTTAAAGGGGTTCCTTCAACATCAGGGGCGCCATTTCCAAGTGCTCCATCAAATCTCATCAAAAGGCCACCTAGTGAACAAGACAGCCGTCACCGATCGACTACTGTGCAATTGAATCTTCACCTGCAAACTGAGCAAACAAAGGCCGCTACTAGGACAATCCAGGCCAAGAGCCAACAAGTCAACATAGACACAAGGAAGCAATTCGCCTTTGAAATAGAGAACCAAGTCGTCGGGAAACCCTAGATAACCGGCACCACCCGTTACAAACCTAAACCTTCTTTCTTTTCTTCTTTCTTTCTTTCTTTTTTTAATAAAAGGAAACAACCTAAATTTCGGGGACCTAACAATTTGCAAGTATATAATAATAAAAAGAAGGCAATAGATACGTACGAGAAATATGAAAAATGATGGAAAGAATAATTAAAAACAAATAAAGTAAGAATGATAATTATTAAGGGAACGAAATTAAAAAAAAATAATAAAGAAATGATAAGGGAGTACTTATCTGAGCCAAGAAGCGTAACTGCCACCTCATTGGTGATTGTAACCGACGCATTCACAAGAGACCGTCAGTCTCCCCGCGACGAACCAGATTTTACCGGACGGCCGAGTGATCATCGTCGGCGCTACGCGATGGACATGCAGCGGCGGGCAGGTTGTAGCAATCCGGGCAGCGGATCAAACCGTTGACATTGCACGCGGTGCAGCTTCGGAACCCGTGCTTCTCCGAGTAGGCCATCATTTCGAGCAAAAAACGAGTTCTCTGCTTCTCTCTGATCCACATCCCCTCTCCGGACTTGGCCGGTTGCTGGTAGGGTACCCCGAGCAAGAAGGGTAATCAAAGTCCGCCACCTCCACCACTTCCCCTCTTCTCCAACTGCGCTCGTGAAATCGTATGCCTCGTCGGAGAAGAGCACCTCCATGGAATCCGCGAGCAGATCTGGTAGGAAGATCCTACCTTTCTACTCGACGCCAGATCCAAACCCCCAAAAGCTCCAGTTCACGAATCCACCATCGCTGCTTGCAGGACGAGCAAAGGCAAAGCGAGCAGAGAGAAGATGAATCGTCCCCTGCTCTCTCCGATGCTTCCTTGTGCTCTCTCCTCTCCTAGAGCAAACCCAGACCCACGAGATCCTCCCCAGCTCTCTCTCTCTCTCTCTCCTCTCCGACGAGCGGGAGAAGATGAATCGTCTAAGGATGATTTGGGAGGGAAATCGTTGTCTAAGGATGTATCTATCTTACTACGAGAAGAAATTTTACAATGCTATATAGTATTGTTGCAATAGGTTTTTGCCTTTATGGTACAACTTAAAATTGTACATTTACGTTATGGTACAACTTCAGATTGTACCTATACTTTTTACACAAATTCTTTTATGGAACAACTTGAACTTGTACCTTAACATAATGGTACAAATTGCTTTATGGTACAACCTAAACTTATACATTTAATGTTATGGTACAACTTTAAGTTGTACATTAAAGCACCAATGCTATATAGCATAGTAGAAGTGCTCTACTACGAGTTGTTCTTTACGGCGAGCGAGTTAATTACCAAAATCTAGTTTTTTTTATTTACGATCAATATGACGGTTTTAAAACTATAGACACAAATATTGTACTTTGGAGAGAAAGAATGGCGAAACCGCCCGAGATTCTGGCGGAGCCGCTTTTTAGCCTTTTCAATACGAAATGGACAGACCCACTTGCAGTGGCGGAGCCAGGATTTGAAACTACCCCTGTCCTCTTTTCATAATATAAATATATAAATATTTACTTAATAATTATTTAATAAATAAAATTAAAACTAATTATATCCAAATAATTCATTCACATATAAAAAATAATCGACTAATAAAATCACTGTATTCATAAGCAACCACGACGGAATTTCATATTGTGAAAATAACATAAAACATTTATTGTCTACAATGTTAAGTAAGTCTCTTTTAATGTATCGCACTAAACAATCATTAGCAAATTGGTTGCCAATTCGACTTCAAAACTTGTTCTTAATATAACTCAAAACTGAAAATGTTCTTTCTGCACTTGTAGTTTCAAATTGGTAGAATCAAAACTAGTGGAATTGCCGTTGTTGCTGAAAAATTTCAAGATTGTTGGGGAAAAACGAATAGACATAAGGTGAAAAAAGATTTTATTAGGTCTTTATTGCAATTAAAAGTTCATTTATAGTATAATAAATTAATTTTATATCAATTTATGAACAACTAATAAGTTGTGTTGTACTGATAAAATACTATAATATCACCTTTAATTGTTTGTTCCATCATCAATATAAATATATATAGGTATTTTTTTCCACTCCGAAATTTGCCCCTGTCCCGTGACAAGGACTAATGCCCCTGCCTCCGCCTATGCCCACATGAGTCTGAGGCGGATTTTTTGAAAAACCAGGAGAGGCGCTTGAGACTCAGGTGGATGCTCCCTCCCCCTCCTTTTTTAGTACCCGTCGACGCCCCCTATCTCTTATCTTCTCTTCTTCCTCTCCAAACCAACCACCACAGCAGAGAGCAGCGGATCCGCACAACTCCAAGCGCCCACGCCACCTGCAACAGCGCCATTGCCTGCGCCTCAGGCTGAACCGCCGGAGACAGAGACAGACTCGTCTGAGTCCCAGGCAAAACCGCTCGCTATTTATCTTCTTCCTCGCGCGCGGAGCAAAAAACATATATGGTTCTGGTTCGACAAAATGTACGACACCGACGAGGAAGCGATCGCCGGCAGAGGAAGGGAGAGAGGGCGGCGAGCTCTTGGCGGCGGCGGCCGGTACCCAGTTGAGGATTTTGCCGGCGACGACCAGATTCTCGCCGGCGGTGACCAGATTCTCGTCGGTGGCGAGTTTTTTTATTAAATTTTTGTTTTTTGTTTTTTCAGTTCATAGGCTTACGAACAGTTATTCAATGAGACCACTACCTACGACAATTGATGTCACACCCTCTCCTATCTAAGGTTCTTGATACATACATATTATGCCTCATGGTATGCTCTAACTGTGTTATGCTAGCTCGACCATGTGCCTGGGTATAGTTATATGCATTCTAATAATTAAGTTTCTACCTATTCACAACACCAAGATAAATAACAGTTATAAATGCATCTAGTATTTGATTTTGACTACCTAATAAAATACTACATTTAAACCAACTACTACTGATGTCACAAATAATAAGTATACTCTAAATCATACATACAATATTTCAAACATCATAAATATTAAGATTAAATTAATTATTATAAAGAGTAAAATTGTATAATGAGGTTAATTATAACTCATTTATATGTTAATGCCCTTAAATTGATCAACACATCCAAAAATGACGAAATGAACATCACATTAAACCCAATATCATCTCATTATTGTCTGTCCATTCATGCCAGATTAACAAGAGGTTTAACGTTTAGCAGTTAACCTGACTAAAATTTATGGAACCAGTCACCTATAGTTTGTAATAAATATTATTGCTTCATAGTAGTTCTGAAAATTTATATTAATTTAAATAATTCAGATTGCTTTTTCATATTGAATACTACAATTTGGTATGCAATATTTAAAGCATTGAAATTTGTGTTGCAATTTTAAGATTACCCGTCATTTTATTGGTTATAAAAAATTATAAATGACGTACTAAACTTTGCTTTTCAGAATATTTAATAGGCTAGCTAACCCTGATGAAAAAGTCGTATGCTTTTCAATTCTTCGTTTAGTATATGTTTATAATTTAAGAAGATAAAACAAATTTGTTTAGTGTAATTGATTGTGATTATTGTTTTTGTTTGAAGATATCATGGTTCAAATCTTGATATTGATACTATTTTATAGGAAGTAGAAAAATAATTGTGATAACAAAAATACTGTGCCTACTTTCACTCTCGTTTCACGAAATTTGAAATGGAAAATCTCAAAACATTGAATATATGTTATAGAAGAGCTTCTTCAACCAAGTAGGTATTTTACCTGAAATTTTTTATCTTATAGAAAGTGATGAATTGTGAAATCGAAACTCAACTAACATTGATTCAAACATTAAACATTAAATTGTTTGTGTAGTTCAGTTTAGACAAAATGCACGTGAGTAGCCTAAACATTGATCTTTGTGACAAATATAATAATTTTTTTGTGAGAAATCTACACATAAATATAGAGATAAATTGGGCGCTATGACGAAAAAGAAGTTCGTAGAATCACTCTCAAGCCACGAAATTTGAAATGAGACTCTCATTTTCCAATTTTATAATTATATTATGTGTAAATTTGTCACAAAAAAATGACTATACTCGCCACAAAGGACCATGTTTTGGTTACACTTCTATATTTTGTCTAAACTAAACTACACATACAATTTAATATTAATGTTTGAATCAATGTTACTTGAGTTTCGATTTCAGAATTAATCTCTTTCTATAAAATATAAATAACTTAAGATAAAATATAAATATAAAAGCATCATCGCCAAATATATTCCTACAATTTAATCAAAGAAGTAACAGTAAATAGTAAATATAATGTAGTTTAGCTGGTTATAATGTTCTTCCTTCCTTTGAGGGACCAAACCAAGGTTCAAACTCCAGTGATGACATTTTTAATACATAAAGATGAACGGGGTGCAATGACAAAAATGACCTTCCTAGAATCACTCTCAGGCCACGAAATTTGAAATGAGGCAATTCCAACCCATGTTTTGCCTTTAAATATCTAAAGAAGCGAACCGCAGAGCAGGGAAATCGACAAACAAGACAGGACGGAAGCCGCCGGTAAGCTAGAGGGAGTTTAAGCGGAAAAAGTGGGACACCATTGTGGTAAAGGGTCAAGTGGATTTGGAAGGGAGAATTTTTAGGGTTCGAAGCTTAAGAAGAGAGGATGGAGAAGAGAATCGCTCCAAGCTAAGTCTCGCACAGCAGATAGCCAAAGGGTGAAGGGGATGACTGAACGGCACCGTATTAGGATTCCATAATTAATTAATTAAAAATAATTTAAATAAAAGGGGTAGAAGTTGATGGAAAAGGTAATTGAAAGACTTGTATTGTATGTACGGCATTTTAAAGGAATTTTTTTTGTGAAAATTCAAAGGAAAGAATCGACCGCATAAAAGGAAAAAAATGTTTTTTTTTTGTAATAAATTTTCCAAAATATCTAGCACCTTTCTACGACAACATACAGTCGCCAGAAAATATTTCCAAACATTCTGCGACGCCATCGGATCGTTGCAAAATGTCTCCAAACTTCTGCGACGAACGATCGTCGTCGCAAATATCTAAACTCTTTCTGCGACGAATATATATCGTCGTAAAATACCTTCAAACTTCTGCGACGACATATTTTCGTTGCAAAATATCTTAAAATATTCTCCGACGGATTAGTTCGTCGCGGAAAAAAAATATTCGTTGCGGAACCATCTGCCTCACTCCATTTGATTTATGATACAATCTGCGACGAAAAATATAAAAATCGACGCAGATTGAGCATCTTCTGCGACGAATTTCATATCGTCGCAATAAAATTCGTTGCAGAAGGGGCAGTTTCTTGTAGTGTCTTGTAGACTTGGACCTGTATCTGAATGCAATCTGATGAGTTAGGTTGAAGCAGACACAGGTGTACATGGGCACTGGGCCGTGCTTGGGCCGGCACGGCATGGGCACGCTTCGGGCCCATTTATTTCGTGCCGTGCTTGGCACGGCCCGTCAATTTTCGTGTCGTGCCATGCCAGCCCATTTGTTAATTTTGCTAGGCCCGGCCCAGGCCCGGGCACGGTTCGAATCGTGCCGTGCCTATTCGTGCTCGTGCCATGTTCGTATTCGTGTTTAATGAAAATGACGAAAATAAAAGAGAGAATGAAAAAGAAGGTGAAAATTGGACGAAGGAAGATAGTATTAACCGATAATGTTTGAGAAAAGTAACAAATAAGGGGGAAAAGAAAATTGGAAGTATAGCGAGTGTGATTTGGCTTTGTTTAATTCTTTGTTCATTTTTATTTATGTTAGTAATTACGTATATATCTTTATGACACTTCTAACAACAACAAATAATTATTTTTCTACTTGTGTTTTGTAATATTTGAACCTATAATTCTTTTTATATATTTTTTCTATCAAATAAATATTATTTTCGTGCCATGTCCGTTCTTATACTCAATAAAGTCTCGAAAATATTAAGCCTGACACAGCCCACTTATATACCGTGCCGTGCCCGTGCTCGTGCCCGTGCCCATGAAGTTTAGGCCCGGCACGGCCCATAAATTATTCGTGCTCGTGCCGGGCTGGCCCATTTATTTCGTGCCCGTGCTCGTGTCGTGCTCTAATCGTGCCGTGTCGTGCTAGCCCGTGGGCGGCACGGCCCGGTGCCCACGTACAGACACAGGTGAGTTTGACCTCCTAGCCTCTTAGGTAACCACTTCTACGTTAATCTAGGGCCAAAACCTCAATTATCGGAGTAGTGTCATGGTTCTTTTATGATTGGTCTCTCCGCGGTCCGGATTAGGTTTCGAGTGATTGGTTTGCAATTCTTAGTTGATTAGTTAAGAGGGCTAGATCATCTAGCCTATTGTTGTCATCCTTAGCCGAAAAGTTAAGAGAGTTAGTCTACTAACTTAATGCAACAATCCTTAATTGGTCAACTAAGAGAGTTAGGGTTTCCTAGGTTTGTTTGATTAAGAGAGCTAGGCCTCCTAGCTTATTGTTGCAATCCTTAGCCAAGCGGTTAACAGAGTTAGGTTCGCTAGCTTATTGTAGCAATCCTTGATTGATCGGCTAGGAGGGCTCGTTCCTACCTTGTTGCATCCGCCTCGCGGTATATGAACACATCCTTCACACTAAAGTTTCTTTCATGCTTTCTTAATGCGAGATTAGGGGAAGCAATACCCAAGTGAAGTCCTCTCATATAAAATTCTCCTCGGTTTACTTGTTTGTTTATTTTATAGTTTTCTTAGTTTTAAACCCAAAATCGTTTTGCTAGATAACAACATAAGCGATTGAAGTAGGGATACATGGACCGGTTTGAGTTTGACAATTAAATACTTGCCTTATACTGCACCCGGCTAGAGTTTAAAAACTTGGGCTCTGGTCGGAATTAATTCGCGATGTAGTTCGTGTGAGTCATTGCTGCTATAAGTTGCTTTCTGGTTTTAGGGCAATCACTCTTTTTTGCTGCAACAGGTTCGAGTATGTGCTTTCCCGCGGCCGGCCAGTCGAATAGGACTTAAAGGAATTGGGATTAGTCCCGACTGCAATCCTGAACATAGGGCGTCGGCCAGACAGGTAGCTATATCATATTTGTCCATGTCCTACACTTACCCAAATAAAACTAAAACCTTTCATTCCATCATATAATGATTGCAGCTTTTAGCAGAGGGTCACGTTCTCGACCAGCTCTTCGAGCTTGGATACCTAGATGCAGCTGTTTGGGCTGAGCAGAACCCAGTTGAGGACGACGACAGTCCATCCCCAAGAAGTGCATCTCCGCTATAGCAGCTTCTGAAGTGTAGTAACTTCCTGCATTAATTTGACATGGAAGAACGCAGAACAGGTGAAGATATGTGTAATGTTGTATAGTATAGACGACATCGCAGTAGGAAGGAAGACTTGAAAACGAAAACAACGAATGGCGAACTATATATGTAGATAACCGCAGCTGTACATTCAATTGGTTCTAGTGATATGAAGTGAGAAATGAATGGGAATTCTGGATGGTTTTGCCTCCAGATTGTATGAAGTATCTTCAGTGAGTCGAGTTTTGATTGAAAACAAAATTCCAACTTCTCTCATTTGTCATTTTTATTCGAATGTGATGGTAAATGTTGATATAACCTATACGCAGTAGGTTTTTGGTTACATCATGAAAGACATTTTACTGATTCATTGCAATGAAAGAAGACCAAATTAAAGTTTACAGACTAGAAGTCAGCGGAGACGGCCATCTTCAATCCGGCGCTGCAGAGCGACGAGATGCTGCAGATGAAATAATTGCCTCCATGCTGAAGTTCGATACGGTCATCTCCCGAGTTATGTACCTCTGATCTCGGTGTTACGGTACACGTGTCGTGCCCTTCTTGGTCCGTCACCACCACGTCGTACTTCTGGTCATCATACTTGAATTCTACAATGAAAAAGAGCAAGACTTTTGTTACACCTTAATTATTTTCACGAAATCTAATCACACAAATCAATGCATAAACCTGTTTCTTCTGAGGTATTATGTCTGTTATATATTTGTTTACCTAAGATATCACCGGCATGAAATGTTTTGCCACGAGGCCAAGTCTCCATGTCAATGGTGGGATCCCATCCAAATTCATCTCCCACCTCGTAAGTAGTTGATTCATTAACCTCCATGTTAATCACAATCAACATTATCAGCAGTAATCCACCAACACCTAAACCACCTCTTCCCATTTCTATCACTCTTTTGTGTTCTTCTTCTTATTCTTATTATGCTCAATCTTTTTATTAAGTCTATATTATGAGTTATGACTTCTCCATGGGCATTGTTGATCTATTTATAGAGGCGGGTTGGTGAGAAGTTGGTATAATATCATTGGAGCTTCAAATAAAAGGAAAGAACTTTATAATTAACCTCAAAATGAAATTGTAGAGTTGGTATATGTTATCAATATATGTACATATATATGCTCCTTAGACTAGCCCATTTCATTGATGTTTATACTATATATGTGTGCTTTTTTTTTACCAATAAGGAAAAGGGAGTGGCAATATTAATTGACACTATAGAGGGAGAGTAGCAAGAAATTTATATATTTTGTTCCGCTACAATATCGCCATTGCTAATTTTCAGAACGATATTCTAGCTCTATAAGAAAATAAATTTTTTATTGAGTATCAATTTATATGGTACGTTTGGAACATTATCAAGCTATGGTACATATATTCGATAATCTTTATTTCACAAAGTCCCATAAAATATCTTTGATTGTGTGATATGTTTTGTGCTCGAGGTAGGTTATTAAGCAGATCACACAGGTTAGGGATGGCAAAAAAAACCGAACCCACGGGTACCCTACCCGACCCAATCCGGTTAACGCGGGTAAAACTCGCGTTGACGGGTTTCGAGCCGGGTTCAGGTTTAAACCCGTACACTATTCACCAGGTTGGGTTGGGTTTGGGTTTAGTGATACCCGACCCATGGATACCCGCTCACACTTATTTCATAGCCCTACTCTCCCCAAACCCTACTCTAATTCTAATTTCCCCCAATCTAACTCTTACTCATGGTTGTCATGCCAGTGGCATGCCGTCCGGTTGAACCTGGTTCAACCGGTATCGGTCATGAAACCGGCTGGAATGCCACCGGTATGATGCTCTGGTCAATTCCGGTCAATATCGGTCAAAACCAGTCAAAATCGGGAATTTCAGTGGTCCAACCGGTATGCCAAATTCCGGATATTAAGACATACCATTGTCTTCGACTCGTCGGTAGGGTAGCCGAGGCGAAAGTGGCGCGTTAGCGGCTGTAAGGACCTTTGATGGAGGAATCTGGCGAAGGAGATGAATTACAGGGAAAGAGGAATTACAGAGGCAATGGAGAAGAATTGAGTCTACAGAGCTAAACTAAAGTAGAGAAGGTAAAGTAGCTATTGTTAATTCATTTTCCCAAAAAAGATATCCAGTTACAGAAGGTTTCTTCTATTTATACATCCGTCACTCATTTACACGTCATCATCCAACTAGCTCGGGTTATTACAAACCCTCCCTCTTCAGAGACAGCTTGTCCTCAAGCTATAATCAAGCTGGAAAAGTAGGATGCAGTGCTTTGAAGGAAAGCAAGTCATCCCAAATAGCTTCCTCGGGTGACTGATGCATCCACTGCACAAGAATGTGCAACTCCACCTGGTTTCCCTTGTGCACAAATCGCCTAGCCAGAATCTATTGTACATAATTGCCTGGCCAATATCTAGGAGTGGGACATCAGCCTCGGTTCTGGGAGTTGGACAGCAGCGCTCATGTGAGTTACAGTCTTCAGATAGTGGAAGAGTTTGATAGAACATCGCAACCAACTCCGCAGCTAGCAGACACAAAGGCTGGTTGAACACAAATGGAATCCGAATAAGCACAACCCAAGAGTAACATAGACAGATTAGAGCACAATTCCACAAGGCAGCCAATGATTTATCGGTATGAACAACTCTTTCAAAAACTAGCTTCGTTGCGGCTAAAACAGGCTCCTTTTCAGCAGTTATGTTAGAGATATTCCAGCAAGCTTCCTTCTTGATGCTCTTCTTATAGTTGTTGGTCAGCAAGTTGAGAAGACAAAGAAGTGCTTGATGATTGATGATACACTGAGTTTGCAAATCATCACCAGTGACAATAGTTCCAACAGTCCGAAGTGCGGGAATGAGAACAGAAGGAGAAGGGTGCAGCAAGAGTTCAACCAGACGAGGGCAAACACCAGCTTCAATGACAGCTTGAATTTTGTCATTGGTACCATCAGATAGATATGAAAGTGCCCAACAGGCATCAGTCAATACCTCCTCTTCATTAGAATGAATAAGTCGTGCAAGGGCTGGAGGAGTAGGCTTAACCTGGTCGAATGGAGGTTGTGGCTTCCCACGACAGAAGTTCGACAATGTCCATGTAGCATTTCTAAGCATCGATAATTTTGCATGCTCATTAAGTTGAGCTAGCAGTGGAAGCAAAGCTCCATTGCCAAGCACAAGATCACGACATCTTGGAGAATCCCCAGCCACATTTCCTAGAGCCCATACAGCCTGCTCGCGGACATCATCACTTGGTGAACCCAGAAGCTTTACAAATATCGGTACAGCACCATGATCAATCACAACTTTAGTATTCTCAGATGTTCCAGAAGCAGTATTTGTAAGCGCCCAAGCTGCTTCAAACTGAAGTTGGGGAAAGTCCTCTCTCGTTAGAAACTCGACAAATCGTGGAACAACTCCAGCTTGTATGACTTCCTCAATCAGAGGGCTCCGCTCAATCGAGAGCAACTTTCTGAACTGTGTGGTTGCCTCGAGCTGCATATTGCCATCATCAGACCAAACACCAGACACCATAGAAGGCAGATGCTCCAACTGTTCAGAATGTGTCGCCAAGCTCTTAATCAAACCCAGAGGCTGCTTGAACGCCAATGCTTCGTGAAGCCGAGCTGTGTAGGGTCCTTTCAAGCTAAGAACAGGGCCTCTCCACTTACAAACCCAAGAGTAACCCGGACAGATTACAACACCAGAATTTGAGGCCTTCCTTGAATACAGAGTAACATCACAGCAATAGTCCTTATATGGCTCCTTGAAACAAGGACAATTTCCCCTACCTGTAGAAACCACACAATTCCCACAATAACCATGATAGAGTTGAACCCCGTAATCCCATTTAGAGTCCCTCAAGTGAATGTGGTCGTCCCAAAATTCAGCACCAAACCTTGCAGGAAAGAAAACTCCAATAGCAAAATTATCACAGCTACCAGCAATAACTCCGCTATCTCCACTCCCTCCTCCGCCTACAACTATGCTGCTACTACCACTAAGAGAGGAAATTGAAGATAGGGAAACAGAAGGTAGCGAAACAGAAGATGGTGGGAAAGAGGGCAAGGCAATCGGTGGTGGTTCTTGAGAAGAAAAAACTGGGGCTTGAAGACTCGGAGAAGAAACAACAGAAGGAACTAGGGTTCGCAGTCTTGGGGTAAACAGGGGAGAAACCCAATCGAGCGGTGGAGAAGTAACCTGGGGATCGGAGGTTGAGTCAGATTGCCCGGAGAAGGTGGAAGAAGGAACCCGCACATGAGGATCCCACATTGACGGCCAACGCGGTGGCGAACGGAACGACTGTTGATCGGCGAGCTGATTGGAAGTCGCGTGCGAAGAAGAAAGAACCGGTGACTCGTCCCGCCGTTGCTCCAACGAAGCAGTAAGAGCATCGATGGAGGCCTTCGTCGAAGCCGCAAGATCAGCAATGGCGGCCTTCAAATCCCGGTGCTGTGAGTCCATCTGCCGCTTGATAGCCGCCATTTGAGTTTCCAAAACAATGATTCTCGATGTATTAGACGCCATTGTTGCCAGATGACAGACTCTGATACCACTTGTAAGGACCTTTGATGGAGGAATCTGGCGAAGGAGATGAATTACAGGGAAAGAGAGGAATTACAGAGGCAATGGAGAAGAATTGAGTCTACAGAGCTAAACTAAAGTAGAGAAGGTAAAGTAGCTATTGTTAATTCATTTTCCCAAAAAAGATATCCAGTTACAGAAGGTTTCTTCTATTTATACATCCGTCACTCCTTTACACGTCATCATCCAACTAGCTCGGGTTATTACAGCGGCAGGGGCAGAAGCTGATCCCACCCTTCTCTCACAACAAGCGCTACGGATTCCAAGGGGAAATCCCGATGCCGGTGGTGTTCGGGGTCTTTGCATCTTCTTCCTCCTGCTCCTCGTCATAATTCCCTGCCTCAAGCCCACCATCGCCCATAGCGCCGAGATCAGACCACAACTTGCATTTTGCTATGATTTGTAATACCCATTGTTGGATTGAATATATAAAGAGTAATGATAATATAATATGACTCTCCACTGCCGACGGTGAAGCTCGGCATGGCGGCCAAGGCAGGGATTGTAGTCCTTCAATTATTTCTTCAAATTCCTGGCCCTCGCAAACAAAGGGAGGGGATGTAGTGGCTTTCTACACGGACACTGCATTATTGTTCGTTTGTTATTAATTTAGAATGATTAATATGATAGTTGCTACTAGTTAGAATAATTGGTAAAGTTGGAATGAGAATATCTTAATAATTGTGTTGCTTTTGAAATTTGGATCATGGGCTGTTTGATTTTGGAATATTTTGTCAAACCGGCATAAACCAGTATGAATTCAGGTTGTACCACGGTCGAATGATTCTACTTGTCAAACCGGCGTACCGGCATAAACCGGTTTGACATCCTTGCTCTTACTTTATTTAGTGTAATTGTGATTTGTTTGAATTTTCTAGACTGGTATTTTATGTATGGATAATTTGTATGGGGGAATTGATGTTTGAATTTTATTTTGATAAGAACTTGTTATTGTAAATTTTTTTCACAAAAACCCATGGGTACCCCTGAACCCGCGGATACCCAGTGGGTTGGTTGGGTTTGAGTTTTCCAAATCTAGTGGATTTTTCCCCTGTTTTTTTTTACAGATAAACCCATGAATTTGAGTTTGGATTTGACAAAACCCGACCCAATCCAATCCATTGTCATCCCTACACAGATTTGATATTGAGACGATAAGTTGGCATCATGATGAACTCTCTATTCACCACCATTTCCTTTTCCCTTAGCTAGAGAGAGTTGCTTTCTGGGACAAAGAGGCCAGTTTGGCGAGTATCAGGGGCTAGCAAAAGGGTTATCTAGCACAACAGGTAATTACTCTCTTGTTCCCCTGATTTTGAAACCTTGACTGCTGGCATATGGTTGGTGTGGAATAATTATGCATGGATATGCTTCATTATGTGTGTATGCTGATGATGACTAATCAATGGGAAGGGTTATATGGGGTTTACTTAAACCATATGATTATTAATTAACTGGTTGGTTATAGTCAGTTGATAGATTGTTGTTTTCCTTGTATTAAACTTTGTTATATTATGTGACTTCTTAAAGGAAAGGAGGAAGTCGGAAAGCATCAAGAGGCAAGGGTATAACTGAATAGAAAGTGTACTGTGAGTAATTTCTAACCTATCATATACTTTAGTATGAGCATGGTACACGTTGCACGAGCTTACGTTCTATCTCTACCGAGAGGTGTATTGTTCCCCGATCTGAGTGGAGCTACGGTTCATCTACAATACCTACAGTTGGTGGAGGATTGGCAGAGAGTTGGATGGTTCGCCTGGGGAGCTACTGTTTTAGACAACCTGTACTGTGAGATGGGTAGATCGGTTTTGCACATGACGCATTCCTCTTACCTAGGAGGTGACTTTGGTGGATGGGTCCCCTTACTACAACTATGGACGTGGGAGTAATTTCCAGATATGGCACCACTACATACAGAGATGACGGCGCAGATTACGGATGACACATTCCCACGTGGTGTTTGATGGCTTCCGGCCAATACCCTTCAGCACGGTGATCAGTTCTACTAGTACAAGTTGTGGTTTGACAAGATGACGACCATGGTGGTTAGTATATAACATTTCATTTTATAGAATAGTTATCATTGGTTTGTTTTAGATATATGATTAATCATATGACCACTTTTTGTGTGTAGTGGTGTCCTTACGTTGAGAGAGCTGAGAACCTCAGACGTAGTGTGGTCCAGTCTTATATATTTCGAGCAGTAGTTCCACTGATTTGCTTTTCAACGGTGATGTGGCACCATCTAGACCCCGTGCTCCGACAGTTTGGCATGCTGCAGGATGAGCCTCATCCACCACAGAGTGAGGCTGAGGTTAGGTTTTTCCTTCACCAGCCCCATCGTGGGCCATCGCGTGGGCAGCAGTTGGTACACGCCTACAGAGAATCGCTTGATTTGTGGAGCTGTCGACATGACTTCATAGCGACTATGCCATACAGTGAGGAGGTTTTAGCCTACCACTCGGAGCATATAGAGTGGTATCAAGATGTTACCAGACGTTCAGGCACACGGACAGGAGCTGCAGTGGAGGCAGCGGTTAGTTATTGATTGTTTCATATTTTTGTTTGATTTGTTTTTAAATTCATAGTTGTGTGGAATCTCTCATATTTTAAATTTAATTTTCAGTACGACACCATGGAGTATACACTAAGCTGAGTTTACGTGATGAAGTACGGGCTGAACAGATGTCCACCGACCAGATGATGGAGTTTGCTAACATGATGGCAGCATGGGTTGTTTCTTTAGGTTTGGATGGGCGCTGGCATCCTGATGTGACAAGTCCTATACAGCTGCATCCTGCTGAACACAGTCTTGCCAGATGGTCAGAGCGTAAAAATCCAACTCCGGACCAGGGCGTGCTAGAGCCACAGTTCAGGCAGGAGCCTAGGAGGCGTAGACAGCGACGTGAGCATCGCGACGTGCCTAACCCAGTGAGGATTTCAGATTTTCAGTGAGCACAACCTGTCCGGCCTACTACGACCTTCCACTTCCAGACGCAGTTTCAGCCGGGCACTACTTTTGGATTTCAGACAGGCAAGGCTTCAGGATTTCAGGCAGGGCCTTCTTCAGCATTTCATGAGCCCTCTCAATCGCAGTTTCAGTCAGGGAAGCTTCAAGCGTAGGGGTATTTTCAGCGGTGCACCAAATGAGCATCCCCAGTCTCAGGTGGATCATTTGTTCGGTGCACAGGATCATGATGATGTAGTGGAGGGAGATCAGACACAACACGTTGACGACAGGCCTGTACGGAACAGACAGACACTGAGGTGTGGTACTGGCGGTCATCTAGTGGATCATCATGGTGGTCGTCGTGGTGGTCGTTAGTGAGACTATTATATATGATGTTAGTATTATATATTTCTACGGTTATTATGTATTATTGTTGACTATTTATCATTTCATCATGTATTATGTTACTATTATTGTCGTGTATGGTGCTATTGTCTAAAATGAAAACTTGAACTATAAAAAACAACAAACAACAACAACTAGGACATTTGATAAAGTTACAACAACTACTTCAAGCAACAACTTCTGCATGAAAATTTGAAAGTTCCAAACAACTACTTCAAACCATAACAATATCAAACACTAACAACTACTTCGAAAACAACAACTTCTACATACCACGTTTATTATCACTACTTCCTCTTCTACTACCTTCCTCACGTCGTTGGCCACCACTTCCTATTCACTGGCTCCCACTGCCACTTGCTTGGCCACCACAAGTTGATGCATTATGTCCAGATTTATTACAGTTCCTACACACTTGTTGCAATACACCCTCTCTTGGCCAATCCATCTCATTGTAAATTCTTGTTAATCGTGGCCTCCCCGGCTTCCTATTCATGTGCACATTAGGATGGAGAGTAAGGCCATTGTGCTTCTTCCAACTTTTAGGTTCATCAAGAGGTGTGAAACTTGTCCCATAACAAGCCAATATTGT